CTGATGGTGGGGGTGAATATACTTCCAACGAGTTCACCCATCTCCTGCAACAGGAAGGAATCGAGGCGCAGTGCACTATACCTTATACGCCACAGGCAAACGGCATGAGTGAGAGGGCCAACTGAACGATCATCGGAACAACACGAGCTCTTCTGCATGCAGTTAGTACATCCAAGGAGCTTTGGGGTGAGTCTATGATGACTGCGATCTATGTACAGAACAGGCTGTACTCGAGGGCTCTTGCACACGGACGAACATCCTATGAGATGTAGTTTGGAAAGAAACCGTCTTACAACAATCTACGCATCTGGAGATGCATTGCATATGCTCAGGTCCCCAAGGAGAAATGCAAGAAGTTGGACCGGACAGCCCAGAAATATATGTTTGTTGGGTACACTAGCACGGCACAACAGTATCGACTCTACGATTCAAAGAAACAGCAGATAATTCTCTCGCGGGATGTAGTTTTCAAGCAGGCTACGTCGTATTACCCAGTCAAGACCAGCAACGGGACACCCCAGGCACGGTTTTACGCCCCTATGGTGCAGCCATGGGAACAACATCTGGTGTGGGAAGACGAGTTTGATGGAGAGGAACCTGACTTCGAGATACCAGACTGCTACCAGTCTGAGTCTAATGAAGAGATGGAAGATAGGGAGGATACAGATGGGCCAGTGGATGAACTTAGAGAGGAAGTGGTGCAAGCACAAGTACCTGGGCCGGAAGCAGGTAGGAAGGCTCTGAGGATGGTACGAAAGCTGGAGGTTGATAGGGATAGCAGCTTCTGGGATACACGCAAGGGGAAACTACTAGTGGTATATGAAGGGAGACGAACAAGGAGTTATGGCACAAGTCAGGACATCGGACACTCAGCCAACGCCATGATCGAGACAGTCTACATGGTCGAGATGGGTCCTGCGAGCTACAAGGCGGCGATGGAGACCACGGAGATGGAACAGTGGCAAGCCGCGGTTGACTCCGAATGCGCATCAATAACCAAAAACAAAGTACTCACATTCGTGGATGGTATTCCAGACGGGAAACACGTAATCCCGACAAAGCTGATACTCTAAAGGAAGCTCAATCCACAGGGAGAAACAGCCAGATACAAAGTGAGACTAGTCATATAGGGATTTCGGCAAATAGAGGGTCTAGATTTTACAGAGACCTTTACGCCTGTAGCAAGTCTTGCTAGTGTGCGGATCGTGCTGGCCGTCGCAGGGGCACATGGATTCGCGTTACATCAGATGGATGTAGTAACATCCTTCCTAGGTAGTAAATTGGAGGAGGAAATGTATGTGAAACTCCCGTACGGGGTTCTTGGAGGACCACGGCTGGCGCGTCTCAACTGCAGCCTGTATGGCCTAAAGCAGTCACCACGATGCTGGTACTCTACGATGGATACGTTTCTGGTTATGAAACTTGGATTCCAGTGCGGACGGTTTGACAAAGCCCTTGGTGGGGACCGCGTATGCGATATTTGTTAAGCTATGTGGTTTGCGTTGATTATGGGTAGTATATAAGGCACGAGATAGTATGAAAATAGGGTTATTTAGTATATTTTGTTTTACTGTACTTAGCTCTAGAGTCTTCATGAGATAGCACTGGAAGGGGGAGTGTTAACACTAGGAACCAGTAGCTACTCATGTGCGTTGGGGTTGCACAGTAGGATTTGGCATACGCTAGGGAGCAAGGCTTGGCACACATGTATTTCTCTTAAGTAGCGGCGTCATAGCTAGAAAATACACAAGTCATTCTTTCACCACCACGCGCACACTACAACACCAACAATGTCAGAGACCGAGCAATAGCAGGTGGAACTCGAAGCTAGGGATGGGTTTTGGGCACCATACTTTAAGTCGGAATTCAAAAGCAGCGATGAGGAAAATCAGGCTATGGAGCAGGCTCTCGATAACCTTATCTGACCACCGTACTATATCCGAATACCATAATGATGTCAAACTATCTGGAACTCAATGTGAGGCTGCAACAACAGATTGTTGGACTGTTGTTGAACCACGATGTTATCCAACTTGAAGACTACTTCGCCATTCTCTGAATAGACTACTGTCCTGATTGCCATAACGCTTGGGTAGATGCACAGCATAAATCTGGTATTCGTGACTACTGTGATCTGCATTTTCTTGAGTCCCGATATTTTCTTAGGATTTCTTCATGTCCCTGGTGTGACACTTTTAATGAAGAGCTGATAGTGGAAACTGAGGCCTTTAGTTTCTCAGACTCCGCTTTTGATGATTATTAGGTTTTGTTTGTTTAAACAGTTGTTTTATTTTGAGGAATGTAACCGGTACGGGTACTCAGTTATTTGTTTTGTTTTATGTTTGTTTTAAGTATCGCTTTGATACTTGGTTTGTTTTAAGTATCGTTTAATACTTGGTTTTGTTTTATGTTTTGTTTTAAGTAACACTTTGATACTTGGTTTGTTTTAAGTATTGTTTGATACTTGGTTTTATTTTATGTTTGTTTTTAAGTATCGCTTTGATACTTAATTAGTTTTACCAAAGTGTATCGATTAATACCTTTGATTAGTTTCGTTCATGCTAGACATGAACAGATTTGTGTATTAAAAGACCGCCTAATTCCACGATGGAAAAGGCAGACTTCAACAGACAGTATTTCAATATACTTAGTTGAACGGTTACTTCTTTGTTCCTCAGTATACCCTCGAAGCCTCCTTTCATTCTCAGCTCTCGCTTCCTCTCTGGAAGAGCAGCCCACCTGCCAACTATCGTATCTATTACCGATAACGTGATTGGCACCTTGCGAACACGTTACACTTGGCGTATTATCGGCTTTTGAACAAGCGTAAATATCATGGCAAGTGCTCAGCTTTATATTCACTAGGGCTGCAATATCTTTCCACTTCATTTTTGCCTCATCACGAAGAGTGATGATGCGAAGCCGTTCATCATAGGTCATTTCTCAGCCCTTTGTATTATTCAGAAAATGCTTGCACTGTGTTCCCTTTAACTTCATTATAAGAAATAAATAAAATACAGGACACTTTGTGGACAGACTTCGGATGTGGATCAGATAGGATTCAGAGCAAACAAGATCAGTTGACCTTGACTTTAGATGTGAAATCACGAAGTTGCTGTTTTTGATGGTAGTTTAGTGGTTATATGGCTATAGCAACAGACCCTATCTTGGATGACCTCACTCCAAAAACTGGGTTTGGATTGCTGAATCTTGATTTCCAACATTGACAAGATCCACTAATCATATCCTTTCCGATCACTTACCCTTATACCCTCGTACTAACTGTTGTAATAATAAAGTAACAATGATAACCACAATAAAATCTGAAGACTTAAAGATTAATCCAAGCTTGCGCACTCTTTCTAAGAACGAGGCTGAACCTGCCCTTTATATACCCCTTTATCATTACACAAGCACTGCTTCATACCAAGGAAATCTCTAGATACTAGAATACAATAACATATATACTCGGTCATGTGGCGCAGCCACATGACCAACACAGCCCCATCACCGGATAGGAAAGGAATAACGTAATTTCCAACCTCCCACCCCACCCGTCTGCTCTGCCGCCGCTGGTGGGAATTTGAGCTTCCCCATCCCGAGATATACCCGACGTTTTCTGTGGGGTCTCCGGAACCTGAGTTATGTGTTCGTGGCCCAAGTTACAGTGCGGTGGAGCCTTCAATTATACCATAAGTGAATCACCTATCTATCACCCACCCCGGGGACTTTGGAAAACGCCGGGCGCTGGCCCTGGTGCCCAGTTCTATGTCTTGTATCCAGGTCAGCACCACCGACGGCAGGGGCATGAATCTACCTGGTGTGACACCTCCGGGTGCTCACTCTGGATCTGACCCAGAAACTACGGTTACCGTAGTCCTCCAAAAGCCTTATTATTCGCAATTGGTTTGCTAGTGCTAAGCATCCCTATTACAGATCAACACCTGCCGTCCATCCTTCACCGGCTGTGGTATTCTAGGATGTACTGTATGTTAGGTTGAGCTAAGCAAGGATGTTAATACGGATGTAGGAGTAGTGAAAGCGGTGAAAAAGTAGCTTCTGGCAGGGGGTGTATCTAGAGTGCTGCGCGTGTATTTACTTTATATAGTTGAGAAATAAAAAAAAAGGCCGGTAACTCGATCTGGTGCATCGTGAATTCAAGAGCTATCGCTCGTGATCGCACTTAGAGCGGTTGAGCCAGGGTCGGAATGAGGTGAGCGAGCTTGTAATGGGAAGTGGAAGTGCCATAGACAAGCGCAGACCACGGTCTCACCATGGGATGTCATCATGAGAACCTCTGAACTTTGTCCGTTTGAATTGTCCTTTATGCTTTTGCGCTGGTAGTGTTTGAGCCTTGCGCGGTAGCCGCAACGTCATTTTTGTAGCTCCTATGATACAAGTGCCGGTACGAGTAAATCCAAGTTAGATAAACTCGACCAACCGAGTACAAACCTCAGTGAACAAACTCCCCCCAACACAGAATAGCCCACCCGGTGCTTGAGATGGTGTCATAATGTTGCTCTCAGAAATGTGCTGCAGGAGTCCTTGGGTCCCGCGCTGGGCATCTGGGCGCCCTCATAACATGGTCTAGACCCTCTTGACTTTTCAATCGACAAGTTGGTCCGTGCGTCGTTCGTCCTGTCACCCGTCAAGGTGGACTTAAAACTGCATCGGGGGGGGATGATCCAGTATGTCAGATACGCAGCTTAGCCTCTGAAATACGCAGAGTCTTACTAAGGTTTATTGCTCAACAAAGCTACTAGTGATTTAGGTTACTCGTAAGAGCTGTGCACTTTGATGCCCCTTATGCGTATCTGTATTCCCGACATGCCCCCTCACGCCATCCGGTCTCCGGCACAGAAATTTCTATTCTTCCCCGCACCGGCTCTTCATACTCGAGCACGCGTTCGGCACCCAACAGACACCTGCTCGCGTAGCTGTACAGTACTAGTACTTTAGGTGTGGGGCAGAAGCATGCTGCCCCTCCCTACTTGAGTAGGGTATCATACTCGAGTACCGGTGCTCGTACCCTTTACTCGAGTACTTTTCCTGCCCCCACCCGCTATTTATTGCTGCCGAGATGAGGGCGAGAGACTTCTGGTTGGTTACCTACTCCAGATGATGAGCCCGCCAAGAAACACGGGATCACGTGCATTGTTACTCCCTCTCAATTTTCTTGACACCCTCCGATCAATTGGCGAACCCTCCGTGCCCTCCTTCCAAGCTTCAGGTGTCAAACAACCACCACAAAGCTCGACAACACACACGGTGGAGCCCTTTCAGGGGAAGAGGACAAAATTCAGAACACCCGCGCAGAGGAACCACAACCATCACAAATCCCCTTGTGTCTTATCACCAACAGCATCACCGGAAGGCAAATATGCTCAAGCGAGCGCGCCCAGAGGATGATGGGGAAAACGAGCATACCCTTTCATCTTCCTGCGGAATGCTGAACGGGTCAGTAGCAGTGACGGGTTGTTTGGGGGTTCGCTCTCCGAGTGCTAAAGTTCCTTCCCCTCTTTCCTCTTCGCTTCTTCCTCCTCATCCCCCTCTCGTTTGTCTAACTATGGGTTGAAACAGAAACGTCGGTCAAAACTCCAACTCAGAACACACCCATCCTTCCCCTCTACAAAATTAACCGTTACTCCACCCGCAGCCACTACCGCGATCGAAGCTTCCTACGTATTTTCTCCTCCGGTCGAGGCTCAGAGTCCTTTTTATTATGGTGGTAGTAACAATGATGATAATAGTCAGGATATGGACATGACGGATGAATTGCACGCTCCGTATTCGGTTATTATTGGGCCTCCAACGCCTGTTAGTGATGGGGGTGAGGGGGAAGGTGATGTGGAAATGAAGGAGGCGTCTGACACAGGAAGGGAGGGAGATAAGGACAAAGAGAGGGAGAAGCAGAAGCCCAAGCTCAGGATGGGGTATTTGGCGGATTGCGAGAAGTGTAGGCTGAGGATCCCAGGGCATTACATTCATTACTAGGGTATCATCTTTTCCTTCTTCGACATTTTCCTGTCCGGAGTTCAAGGGTGTTTATTTATTTATTTGCCTTTTTTTTTATCTTTTATCCCCCATCTCTGCGATCAGTACGCTGCGTTTTATTTTGTCCTTCTATTTTTATTTGTTTGCACCCATTCATGGAAACTGTGCTTTAGTCCTGTCTCGATACAGATTGCAGTGAATTTGCTTTTATTTTATCTTGTCATATTTTCGTGGAATATTCTTGATTACACGGTGGTTGGGGTCTTCTGCTGCGAAGGAATCCCGATGCTTCTAGGTCAAGGCATTGCTTTGGAGTTCTTTATATACTATCCATTACATTGCATTTTCTTCTAAAGCGAGCTGTTACAAGATACTTGTTAATGCACTTGTACCCGAAATACAGGGTTTTCTAGATACCTCTTTTGTTTTTTTGTTTTTTTGTTTTTTTCTTCCCTCTTTTTCTCCCCCCCACCTGATAATGGATGGGGGGCGGTGGAAGTAGATGGGATGGGATGGGTTGGGATAGCATGATAGAAGAATCTTAGAATACAATTGCCCAGAATCAACTTCACGAGAGTGAAGCGATTAGCTAGAAGACTACAAAGTGTAGAAAGCTTGAACCTACTAAAGTTGACAACATTGTGACGCAGAGCCGCACGCCGCACGGCCCCCCTTCCCAGTTGACCTGCAGAACCAGTAGCAACGCAGTGCCCCACCAAGCGCCCCCAACCAGCTGATCCATCCCTACAAACGTCGTCCACATAAGAAATGTTAGTAGTGCTATCATAGATGTATGGTGGGATCTTCGTTCGGGGTTTATATTGGGGTGGAAAAAGGCAATAGTTGACATTGCAGTACTGGAGTTTGTGGACCTTCATGGAAAAATTCTTCTACTCCCGAATTTTCTTAGATGCAGCCTCCATAAGTGGGGAGTGTCTGTCCTCAATGTTCCCCAAAGTGGCTATCCGAACAAGAGGCCTTATCGTACTATGATACTGTACGAGTAAATTAGGCTCCAAAGTACCGTAGAAGATCAACTCAATCCGTGTTCCAGGTAGCCTAAAATTTCCCTCTCTATGAAGTGGGGGAGCCTGCTCTCCAGTACTCGTACAGATGAGAGGGGGAAAAACCCCAGGCCTTATGATACTAACAGGCAGGTCCAACGTCCTAGCGCGAGGATCGTTTATTCCGGTATCATAATAGCATATGCTTGGCAGTATGTGGAAACATATTGCGCTTCCAGAGGATATTGGTGTGTAAGTGCATAGTATGTATGTATATATCAATGGGCTCCTGTTATTGCAAGTATTGAACAAGTTGGGACGATACCGGTTTTCTTGAAATTTCATGCTTGGGGGGGGGACTATATAGTAGGGTGAGAATTATAGTGGGTTAACCAAGTTAGATATTATAATAAGAGTATGGTGTGACATCCAGGCAGATGGGGGCAGTGGTTATAGTTTCCCGGATGGCATGGTAGAATATAATTGTACAAGCTTCCTAGTAATAACTATTATTATGTTATAATACCAAAACAACTGAAGGTATTTCGATTCCACAACACAACGATAGCATAATACTATACATATTCAAGAAAATTACCATTGTCAGCATGCCCTTCTGCTTCAATTATTTCTTCAGTTTCTCGAACGTACTATCTATCAGAGGATTCCGATGAGATGGGTAGTTTCAGCATACCCCATGCTCCCTGTACTGTCCGACCCATTGCATCGTGGGTTCTGGAAAAGTGACGGCAAGTTTTGATATCTTGTTTCATGATTCGCTATCTGTTCTTAGCAGGATTGAAATTGGTTAAAAGAGGTAGGTCATTGCTAGAGTGGGATGCCTAATGTTTCCCCCTGATTCGTCATTTATTAATGTATTTTGTATCAAATCTGATATCCTGTACCAGCACATGGAATCGGTTGTCGACGGTTACAGACTTCGTAAAGCCACTACCGAATTGTGTAATACAAGTAGTTATACTCTCCCATGTTCATTAGTAGAAAAGATACCCCCTCTCTCGAAGAGGTTGTCATAAGGTAGTTCTAAGCACTGACTCCTTCTCCAGAGCTCTCGGAGGCAGAAACAGACGCTACAAGTACAGTACTGTACTCGTGTGATGACTCTCGAACGTTTGTGAACGCGAACGCAATTGCATATCACCAAAATCTTGAGTCTCCAGGACGCCTTTTTGCCCACCAGCAAAAGTCGCCGGGTTCCCAAACGCCAGAGAATTATGTGCACTTGAAGTATCTATTAGAGGAATAGGCGGACAACTATGTGGTTGGTTTTGGTGGACGCACTTTTCCTCCAGCCTCAACCTACTTGTCATTCACAGTTTGTCCTGATCTTAATCAACGGTTTTCATATCCACTGAGCTCCTTACAGCAGTTCTCCCCCCCCCCCCTTCTGATATCCTTTGCAAAATATCTCGGATTCTGCGTTTATGTCCTACCTCAGGTTTGATACTCGCTGTTTATGCAGATTTCACTCATGTCTGGTGCTCGGTGGGATCGGCGTGTTGCGAGCCGATTAGATTTCTGGTTCAGATGAAAAATTGTCGGGAAGATCGGAAAGACGCTAAGAAAGCAAACGGACCAGTACAGTAACAAGTCAAAAAATAAGTGTACGAACCGATTAAGTGTAGCCCTTGCACTCAGAGTAATCTTGGGCGCTAACTAGTGTTCCTAGAAACAATCCTTAAAACTAACGGTTTATATTACAGGACATTAGAGCTCCAACAAGGATAATTTCCTATCGTGTCCAAGGCCTGCTCAAGTATTCGAGAGTAGCAGCAGCAGCAAGCCAAGATCAAAGACAAGCTCAGCTCAAAGGGAGAGTTCGGCTCACTCGTCACGGGGAGAGGGGAGGCTTAAGCCCAAAATCCACGAATCCAAATAATGGTTCAGAGTACGTAGCGCAGAATATAAATTATAATATCATACAGTACTTATAGAAGAATAGAAAACACAATGAAGCTGAGATTACCTACCGACGTGCATATACGGAGGCAGAGAGAACTCTAGGGCCGGGCCACCATGTGGCTCTGAGATCCTTTAGCCGCCTCTTGGCGTTTTCCCATGCGCCGGTCGACGAGTACATTGGACGAAGTATGGTGATGGTGTGAAGGTTTAGGCTTACTCGGATGAAATTATGTTGGCCATTTTCTTGCATGGTTCGAGTGGTCTAAATGGTGCACCAGACATTCAATTTTCAAATTCGATAGGCTCTGCAACCACAGACATTGCGGAAGAAAAAATGAGGGACCTGCCTATTAAAGAGGAGATGAAGGGGAATATTAGACAGGTTATTTTTTGGTTTTCATGATTGTGATTCCAGGGTCTTTCGGTTTTTTAAGGTGAATGTTGGATACGCTCATTGGACTGCTCTAACCATACATCTTAACTTTTTTATTATATATATATATATATATTTTTCGAAGTACCCAGCTGTTATTATGTCATGTTTATTCCTTACTTCTCGGTGGAGGCATTGAATGGTTTAATTCCTTGATTGGAGTTAACTTCGTATTCAGGGATCCAGTGATTTATTCTTTCCATTGGATCACGGCCCGCCGATAGCCCAATGAGCCAGCTGGGGCCAATTGTTCCTGCGGTTTACTTTCTCAGTATCTTCCCCTGTAAGAGAGTGATTGTGGGGCACAGTGCGTGGGCAAAGTGGTGCTCACTCAACCTTGAATCAATGCAGGCTATATAAACAAGAATTCTACGACGCCCAATGCTCCCCAAGCGGTCTCAGGTATAAGCTACATGTTTGCCGAAAAACAGAAAAGGAAAAAAGGAAGGAGAATAGTCTAATGGCGCTATTCAAGCTCATGGATCATAGCGTCGCCGAAGGGGCGTACTCGTTCTCTGTATGCATTCCTTGCTTGGACAGATATATCTGAGATGCGATAATATAGCCTCCTTCCTCCAAAATTCACACCCCCTCAATTCCCATCGCGAAACGGGACGTTATCGGTGTGATCACTGGAGCTCACTCGGGGTGTTATTCTCCATTGCGCCAGAGTTACGTTCGTGGCTGGTACAGCCATTTGTCGGCAGTGCTCGTCATGTGAGGCCTTCTTGATTGAAATTGGGCAATGGGATGCCCACGTAGTGGGAGGACAGTGTGGCTGTGCGGGGGTGAAATGGTCGAGAAACAGCTCTTTAAAAATAAGTCAAAAGTCAGGTCGCAATTCGGCGGCAGAAAACTGACTTTGCAACTATTCCATATAAGTTCTAAACAGGGGGGGAATTGGTAAATAAAAAGACACCTGGAATAAGCTGACGGTCTAAGGGTATCATAGTTGATAGACGATTTCCTTTTCCTTTCAGTGAGTGAGTCGGCCTCACTGTGCCACTAGCGAATCTCTCGGAAACGAACAGAAAGCAGAACAAACCATGAGAGCCTGGTCTAACGCCTTTGCAAAGATGTGGCACTGCTGTCCACGACCAAAATTTCTGAAATGGTCACTTTCCAAACTTGGTGCAACATGGGTAATGTCCCAGTGGGTATCCCAGTGACTGGGATACTCATGCCGTTGACCATGCCATTGACCAGCTGTGGTGTTAGGCCTTGGGCTAGAATGGGTCCAAAATCTCGGACGCCGAGTATGTTTCTGCGTGATAAGGGTTGGGGATTTTTAGAAACCCCAATCCTATCGGGAAAAACCCCCTCGAGCTGGACTGTATCATACATTATTGGGAGGGGGGGCAAGGATGAAAGTGGGCATTTTGGCCGTTTATCAGGGTTTGGTTTTTCAAAGTGTTGTTTGTTAGCGGTATCATATATTCGGGGGATCATGTTGGCTCTTCACTGGAGGCATGCTTTGAAGTGTGCGCTTGGCTTACCGCTGTACCACGTTCTACCGCACCGTTTGGCTCTAGTAAGCGCTAAACTATGAGAGGGTAGATAATAAGGATATTGAAGATTAGTCTGTGTACTTGATATCTCTCCATTCCTTCTTTAGTTCCTACTGCGAAGAACGCATCCTGGATATTCCGTACGGATCGAAGGGAAGAAGTGAAGGATGTCGCCAAGTATCGAAGGACACTCCTCCCGAGCCCGCCGTATCACCGACTCGTGGCACGCTCAGTGCAAGTATTTAAAACTAGGAGTCATCTCGCAAAGATGTGGCGTAGCAGGATCCAATCGAATTCTGTGAATTTCCCCTCCTCACTCCCCCACCTGTCCGAGGTGCCTTTGCTGCTATAATATTTCTCGTGCCAGGGTGGTCAGGCTCTTATCCGGCAATCTGTCAGTGGAGGAATACTGTATTACAAGTGATCTGAAACCAGAACTTTTACTATGATACTATGATACTAACTTATCTGTTCTCATTCCTGGATGTCCAAAGATGTGCCAATTACACTCCTTGCTCCAGTTCACGCAATGAAAATTTATACATATCTTATTGCATACTGGGACCCAAAAGCTAGAATTTTCACCAATTGATATTCCTATACTGCAGCTTTTAATAAGGAGAGAACCTTAAACATCTGATCATCTGCGATATTTTGTATCTCGCATCATTAGGGAAATGGTACTTTTGGTATTCATCTCTTTCTTGTCTCGATTATTATTTTTAGTTCTTTTTAAAACCTCCATGATTCTGTATTCCAAATAAATCCAATTGATTATATCTTAGATTTCCCCCGGTTTTCTCAGTAGTTTTCTGGTCTGTAACTTGATGTTTTTCTTTTTCTACATAGCTTTCTAACTATCATATATCATAATATAGGAGTGTAATTTAATCATTAGGTAAAACCCACCGATTATAGACAAGTATATAAGGATTCCATCCTCAAGAGAAACAATATCTATTTTACCGGGACGAGCCAGAGAGAACCTCGGAAAAGTCGAAGTAGCCCCTCCCCTGCCTATGCAAGCTTTTTCGTTGGGTTGGTCTGCTCGGCATTGCTCCCTACTGTACTCGTACTCTATCTAGTATCAGAAAGCGCCGGTGACCGAGTGCGGTGCCGCAGCCGCAGCTGAATCCAAGCAGATCCACAAAACTTCCCCATACCAGCACGCAAAAAACCCCCATTCAAGCCACACTATCCATTTACGGGCAAAGTTTCCCCACTCGTTTCTGCTATTTGCGGCACAAGCGCTCATTTGCCATCCAGGGCAGTGCAAGCAACGTCCTCGTAACCCTCTGCGTATGTCCAGTAACTCAGCTCCCCCCATGATTCCTCCGACTTTGCGGAACTTACCAAATACCGGCCCCGATACTGCTCCGCCAATCCATGATCAATAACTCGCTTTCCACCCGCAGCAAAGGGAGGATAAACGAATTCCCCCGAACCCGAACGCCAAGAAAGCGGGGGACTTGTTGCTCCGGTACGGTTCTTGTGTCGCTATGTCAAGAATCGGCCCCGATTCGCCCCTTCTGTGCGCCTATCCCTTGGGCTGAAACGGTCGAATTCCGTGGACAGGTATGCCGAGCTTGTCCCGGAATGATTCGAGTTTTGTGATTGATGGGAATGTTCGATGAATGTGTGTAGTTGGAAATCCTTTGCGGGTTCAAGTTGAGCTATAACAAAAGTATGATACTCTAGTACTATACTCCTGCTACAGGCGTCCCTCACCCTACAGTGCTGTAGTCTACTGTACAACTGTATCATGCTCGAGTAAATTACAGTACATGTGGCGGTATGATACATACTGGGATCGGAAGAGTGACGTAGTGGCTAGAACATTTTGTGGTTGTGTGCATCAGCCACATGGCCGCGAATAATACAAGTACGATGACGTACGACATCACCGCACCACTCCCTACGCCCCCCGCGGTGCAAGAATAGAGAGCAAGCAAACCAAGGTGAAGAGCCTATCAGAGGGTGGGTGGGGCGAGGGGCAAAAACCCTGGGGAGTATAAAGGTAGGGAAAGATCCGTTTGTCGATAGCATCATCCCTCACAAATAAAATTATTTTTACCATCGCAACAAAGTCAAACAAACTTACTCCACTCAAAACCCCCCCCCACCCCTCATCATATTTTCTCAACCATCATAACAACCGTCAAGAAAAACGCAAGAAGATGTCATCAACAACGGTCCACGTCTCCAACATCTCGCACGACACCTCCCAGCAGGAAGTCCGAGACTTCTTCTCATTCTGCGGCAAAATCACAAACCTGGTCATCACTCCAAGCAGCTCGGACCCCAATGCCACACTCTCGGCAACGGTAACCTACGAGCGCGAACCCGCCGCGAAAACTGCTCTTCTCCTTGACGGGACAAAGCTCGGCAGCAACCCGGTGCACGTAGAGGCCACGCACTCCATCGACGAGCTCGCCCAGGGCCACCTTGCCCGCGGTGATGCCGACCAAGATCATCCGAAGGACATCGTGCAGCAGGAGGACAAGCCAAAGACGGCGATTCTAGCAGAGTACCTCAGCCACGGATACGTCATTGGCGATTCCGCCTTGCAGAGGGGAATCGAGGTGGACTCTAAACATGGCATTTCACGCCGCTTCCTAACCACGCTAAATTCGGCATTGCAGGCCGTTGACTCGCGTGTTCACGCTGCCGATACCGCCAAATCCGTCGACACCCAGTATCATGTTTCGGATCGCGCGCTAGAGGCCAAGAATACGCTCACCACCTATTTTGAAAAAGCGCTCGGAACCTCGACCGGCCAGAAAATCCGGAGCTTCTACGAGCAAGGCGGAAAGAGCCTGTTGGACATCCACAATGAAGCGAAGAGGTTGGCGGAATTGAGGAAGCAGCAGAATAGGAAGAGCGCGGATGAAGGGCCACTCGTTGGGCCCGAGAAGACTACCTGCGCCTGTGGCGGTAATGCAGGTGTTTGTAGCTGCGAGGCCGGAAAGTGCGCTTGTGTGGGATGTGATATGGGCCAGAAGGAGACAAAGGGTGATTCGGCCCAGTACCAACTTGGGGAGGCCTCCAGGGACGCGGCCGACGCTACGAAGGATCTTGCAACCGGGAGTGGTGAGAAGAGCACGTATCATTAAGCTTTGATTCGAGATGAGGTGATGTGGGGGGGGTATTGGCGTCTGATTGGGGTTATCGCTTTTTTCTTTTCTTTTTTTCTTTCTTCCGTTTGTGCTGTTGGGTTTGCCTCGTCTATCTGTCTACGGTTGTCTAGTTTGGTCTAGTCTAGTTTGCTCTACTCCCCCAGCTTTGCAAGCCCGTAAATAGAAGTTTGGGTAATCCACCATCGTTATTATACTACCATCGCCCGTGACCAAAAACTGATTCCTCATCTCACGTTCTACTCGAGCACAATACGGTAGGGCATTTTGCTATACTACAGTACTCGGTCAGCTACAGTACATATAATAACCACGTCCGTACTAAACCCACCCATCCTCCCATCCAAGCAGTATGCAGTAAAATCGTACTCAACTCGTCTTTGGCAAGAATACCTCCGTGGGCCGGATATTTGGTGAGGACCAGCAAAATATCGGGTGGCGGAGGTATTCTTGGCAAAGACTAGTTGAGTACGAGTACTGTACTGTGAACCCGAAGAGTATCATTTCATACAAGTTTTACCCCCCAATCCCGCAAAAACGTCATACCAGTCTGATGAATACCAAAAACCAACTTCCAAACCGCACCCCCAGCAATCCATAATTTACCGCCACTTGCCCTCCGACAAGAAACATGAGGGTATGACATCACAACTACGCACAACCCCAAAGGTTGTCCCTCTACTCTACTCGTATATAATACATCGAAAACCCCATTCCCCCATAGAATCGAAATAAGATAGACTAGTCTACCAATTGCACGACTTCTTCACCCCTCCGACGAATTCAAAACCTCACGAAAAAAAAAAAGCCCCCCCCCCGAACTATCATAGTTAAAGATGTCCTCCTCCTCCTCCTCCTCTTCCCGAAAGGGCGGCCGTCAATCGCCCTCCCCAGAACGCCAGTCCGAATCGCAGACCGGTGCGCCGTCGAGTGGGAAAGCGTTCGAGAAGCGGGCGGATAAGAGAGCGGATCAGGGCGAGGAGAGTCAGGTTAGTGGCCTCAGCAGCAATCCTGTGGGCCCTCTCGACCAAGCCGCTGCGGACAAGGCGTTGAAGCCTGGTGTGAAGAATTTGGATGGGTTGTAAAGTTAAAAGGGAAGGTTGTGGTATCGAATGGGGTAAAAGCGGTTACGAATTTGGGTTTCCTTGGCCTTTTTTTTTATTTTTATTCTTTCTCTTATGATACTTTTCGCTCCGCATTGGGCATCCCAAATACTTGTAAAACATTAGCGTCACTGCCTATGCATCTCATTCGTCATCTTGAATCACTCGGAAGTCTAAAGCAATCATATTCACAGACCAGTCTCCACATTACAAACGAAACGGTCTGCCCAAACATCCCCCACCACCGGCAAAATAGTTACACAATTGCCCTTCCGTATTAAAAACCACGCTGGAAGGTGGCAAACCGACCAGCCGACTAACACTCCACAAATAGGATAATCCCGAGAAATATCTGCCTGCAATAGTCTGCAATCTTCGAGTCGTAGATATTCTCGACTACACACGTGTCAATACAACCACCCCCCCCCATTCCCTATTTGAAATTTTCGGGGAACTTACAGGTACCGCTCGCGCAGGCATAAAATTCCTGCTGTGGTCCCAGGGCAATGAGGTTGTCCGGGCAAATGGACCAACCCCCGGTATAAATCGCCCCCGCTTGAGCAGGTGGTCCATCAAACTGGAACTGTCGGTTGGCAACGATGGAACCAATTCGACCGAGGTGATCGACCAAGAGGCCCTTGCTGAGAAACATCTTTAGAGAACGCGGTTCGAAGCACCGGGTTTCGACAGTCCAGGTGGGGTGATCGATCGGTTCAAAACCGAAGGCTCCTGGGTAGCTATCGACACACCCCGGGGGAGAGGCCCCAGGTGGCCGAATGATTGCCGTGACCCCCTGAGGCACGCAGAGTGTTGAAGGGATTAGGAGAGGGGGGATCATGAGAATGGCAAGGAGAAGTGAAAGCATGTTGGTAAAATATTTGGGGTGGTATCACACTTTTGTTGATTCGAGCTCGCTGTGGTCTGTCGTGGAAGGTAGAGAATAGTGGTAGGAATGGCGGCGAAGGAAAGGGAAGAGCTGGATTTCCACCTATTATATATCAGGTGTCCTGTGTTGTCTTCGTAGCCAGATGGATAGACTGCGAGGCCTTGGCGAATGGATATGCGTATGCACCTCCCTTAGAGAAGAGCTCCCTTTAATTGCGAAGCCACGTTGGGAGTAGGCTTTGGATAGTATTAACTTATCATACAAGCAGTGAATGTTTCCTTATCTACGGGTGCTCGAAGCGGGTACGATTTGCCGGTACTAGATGCGAAGTCTTAGGCAAGAGTCTACTAGAGTGAGAATTTGTGAGGCAATCGGTTCGGGCCGCTTCCACTTGGCACCGGCAGTATGATACCATAGCTCCCCCCCAACTCACAAACCAGATAAATAATTCTCTGGTGTCGGCGTGTGAGATGTTCAACAGAAGCAGAGCATCCTAGGGGTAAACATAGCACAGGGCGACCGCCCACAGGGGCCCATTCGTAAACACTTCAGCCCGCTGTTTGGGGGAAGTCTAGACTCTTGCTCGACACTTGGCAGTCAATCAGGAACGTTCCGAGTGCCAAATGGTGATTTTTGCTGCAGCCCAAGAAAATATCCAGTGAAATTGAAGATGTAGGAACACACACGCGTGATGTCTGGGTACGTGGCACTCAACGCCCACCAACCAAGCTTACGACGAGCATATGTTCGTTGTTCAAGAGGATGGAGAAAGAACTAAAATTATCTTCAATCATACAAACCTTGGGCTCACTAATAAAAGCTCGCTCCACCCTCACTTACTTGCCATTCCCCTCATCACCGGCCCCGCCCCTATTTCGATATAGACTCGCCCTTTTGACTTACTCTCCCGGCTGAGAGAACTGACTATTGGACGTCTGCCTTAATGGACCGGTCGGTATATTGTTCTCCTGTTCTCCGAGAGACCACCACTAACATACGACCAGAACTCTTGCTGTCCAAAGCGGAACTACCGGCGACCGTTTTGCCACCAAGAGTTTCAGCAAAGACTTTAATGGCAACCCTATTTTCAAAAAATCGGTACGGGGTAATTATGGAGTGGCGCATGTCAGATCATTAAGCGAAGAGGGAACAAAGGGTACAGTGGCATCGCAATTCCCGATTGATTTAGCCGCCCGAGTCAAGGCCTCTAACAAGTGCTCGGTTATGGAATAGGGAAAGGATCCAACCGATATCTAAAAGTCCCATATAGCAGGAATGATAACTTCATTGGTCGTGAGGATTCACTGAGACGCATCAACGAAACGGTGGGAGGTGGTGAACATGCTAGACTCGCACTGCATGGTCACGGAGGTATTGGGTACATACAAGTCGCGCATCTTAGTATGCGGTCACCCACGCTGCGTAGAATATTTCTCTGACGACTACTAGGAAGACTCAGGTCGCGATCGAATACGTTTACCAGCACGTGGATAGGCGCAGTGCGTTTTGGGTGCGCGGAAACGACTTTCTGAAATTTAGCGAGGACTTTAGAAGTGTCCTGCCATACGCGAAAATTCCCCACAGAATCGCCCCAAACGAGGAAAAGCAGTTGTTAAGGGCCGTGAGGGATTGGTTCGAGAGTCCAGCCAGCGGGGACTGGGTCTTGGTCATCGATGACGCCGACAACGAGGCAGATTACAGCAGCGAGAACGGTCCGATATCCGAGTTCTTACCGCGAGCGTCAAAAGGAATTGTTATATTCACTACAAGATCTCGCCGAGTGGCGGAGCAACAGGGCTGCAAAATCATTGAAATTGGGAAAATGGGGGACGGGGATGCCCGGGCGCTCTTTTTGAGCCGTCTTGAGAACCCGAAAAATTTAAGTGAGGCCGACAAAAAAGCTCTGACGCTTATACTTCGCTCACTTGACTACCTTCCATTGGCACTGGTGGGCGCTGCCTCTCTGATGAGGGAGGAAAGTATGTCACCGTCCGAGTATTGGGATAAATTCAAGGAGCGGAGTGAACAAAGGAAGCTTCTACCCTCGAAACCCCACGATATACGAAGAGAGGTGGACATGACGGAGAGCATTCTGGACACCTACTTTCTCACTTTCGACCAACTAAAGGGGCGGATTCCCTTCGCTGTGGACATCCTCCAACTGATTTCTTTTTTCGATTACAATCAAATTCCGGAAAAACTCTTGGAGCGATACAGCCTGGACGGGGCGCAGAGTGAAGGTCCCCTCGACGACGCTATTGGCAAATTGGTCGGGCTTTCATTAGTTATCAACGGAAAAGACAGGGCTGGCCGGCCTGTTTACGAGCTTCATAGGCTGGTACAGCGCTCGATTCGAGAATACCTGTCGGAGGAAGAAGCGTCCAGGTGGAAGGAAAAGGCTTTGGAGGTTATTTGGCGGTTATTTCCCCACTATAAACACGAGCTGCTCCAAGAGTGTGCCGACTATCTCCCTCATGCGTTGGCTGTCACGGAAAACTCGACAAGTCCAATGGCGGAGGAGGTTTGCTTTCGCATGGCGTTTTACCTTAAGGAGGTTGCTCACCACGATACCGCTGAAGCACAAATCCGGCGGTGTATAAAGCTTCGCGAAGAGAGTAATGGGGCTTCGGTTTGGTGGAGTTCACGTCGCTTTTTCCGGTACATTTTTTCGCCTTTACGGACCACAAAGTATGGTGCGGAATACTGGTCAAGGGTTAGTCTCTTGGCTTCGATCCTTCTTGAGCTGGGGTACGCCGAAGAGGCGGAAGTGGAATATCGACGTGCAGTGAAGGGGAGAGCAAAGGCGCTGGGCACAAACCACCCGGATACCTTGAGCAGCATAAACGGGTTGGCTGTGGCGCTGCACTTTCAGGGAAGGTACGGGGAGGCGGAGGAACTATATCGATCTGCATTGGAAGCCAGAGAGATTGTTCTCAAAAATGGGCACCGGGATATCCTAGAGAGTGTAGCTTTTCTCGGCGAGGTCTTGGAATTTCAGGAAAAACACAGGGAGGCGGAGGCGATGTGCCGGCGTGCGCTAGAAGGCCGAAAGGAGATACTTGGGCCGTATCACCCCGATACCCTAGAAACTATCTTCCATCTAGCTTCGGCGTTGCAGGGTCAAGGAAAGCACGATGAAGCAGAAATGCTATATCGGCGGGTGCTTGAAGCGTTTGATAAGGCTCTATGGCAAGACGACTCGCACACTCTACTGATCATACACAAGATGGCGGAAGCACTACGGGAGGGAAGGAGAGTGACATTCGCCGAAGCAGAAGCATTAAACCGCCGTATACATGAACGATGCGAGAGGGCACTAGGTGCGGAACACCAACTTGCCCGAGCGAGCTTGAATAACCTAGCCGGATCTCTACGCGATCAGGGGAAATACTGCGAAGCAGCGACCACTACCCGGCTCGCGATGGAGATTCTTGAGGAGAGTGAAGGACCGGATCACCCGGATATGCCAATGATTCTGTACAATCTCACACAAATGCTTCAGGACGAAGGAAAATACGAAGAAGCGGAAGTGAGCAGTCGGCGGATAGTCAAATTCTACGAGAAAATACTAGGTCCAGATCATCCGGGCACTCTGGTTAGCCACAGCATCCTCGCTGGAGTCCTCCGCGACCAGAAGAGGTTCGGCGAAGCGGAAGAAATGCTCCGGGATGCGCTAGAGATCATGGAGAAGGTCCTAGGCCCCGAGGATCCGGACACACTAGAAGCTATCGACAGTCTAGCTTTTGTCCTGCAGCAGGAAGGGCGATATGGTGAGGCGGAGAGCTTACATTTGCGAGCCTTGGGAGGTCGGGAGAAGGTCCTAGGAGAGGACGCCACCGATACTCTCACAAGCCTGTGGCGACTAGCCAATCTCTACGAAAAGTGTGGACAGGCTGCCAACGCTGACAGTGCATATCAGAGTGTGTATATGGGACTATGCGGGGCTCTAGGGGAACAGCATCCGACGACAAGAAAGTGTCTGGACGAATACAAAGCGTTTCAAACCAAACACCAGTTAATAGATCTCACCCAATGACCGCCAGGCTATCACGGAGAACGGAACTCCCACTGCCTGGCAGGCCCAGGTCTATCATGTGTTAGTGCCTTGGCTTCTTTATGGAGGAGAATACGATAATCTAGTGCGATATGCGTATATTTATTTATCCACAGCACACTTACTGAAGAATCTGGGAGATTTCGCAGTAGATGCTGGAAAGTTATAGGAGTTAGATAAGAATTTAATAGTCATATCCTAAAGCTACTTCTCTTCTGGCAAACCAAAAATTTCAACTCAAAGTATGTTTCCGGGGGCCAGGCCAATGGCTCTGTTCCCTAGGCCTTTGGTTAATTCACAGTACCCAGCAAGGTGCTTGACAACCGGGAAAGTGTCCGGATGCCGTGGCACCAAGAAATTCCCAATAAGCGCCGTTTGGACAGAAGTTGACCACCCTTATTTATACAAAGAATGTGAGTGATACACCATGATGCTCTTGAGATCTAATTAGAGCAAAAGCTATATTCCTAGGTTGCCCACCCATATGACCTACTGCTAGGCTCCGGCGTATTTAAACATTCACTTTCATCCTTCGAGACGTGTTGAACTATTATGTGTGTCTTGTCTCCTAATCCTACATGCTTTTGCGATCGCGGAGGAGCTAAAGCTGAGAATTTGAGCCATATATATCTGGGTGTTGCGCCCCATCGCCAAGACCACGAGATATGCTAGATTCGCCTTCCCCCCTCTCTCTTAGACTGGATAAAGCTGGAGAAAAATAGAAAAAAGCTATACTTTTTATTATCCGGGAACTTGCGAGCATTTGGGTGGTCCCCCCTCAATTTTGGCAGGTATGGGATAGACGGCACAGGTCAACCTGCCTGTACTCGATTTCCGGCTCTCTCTATGAGGTCCGACAGAGCACGAAGCAGGGAGCTTGAGCAATACCTCATGATGATGACCGGTCAAGGACAAAGTCGGGGGTACTTGGTAGCCTATTCCTATTGATAGTGTTGTTCTCCTGCAAGTACTGCAGCGTCGCTGGTTTGCTTGTATTCGCAATCTTGCACTTGTCTGAGTGATTGAAGGTATGTTGTCAGGGGCACTGTACTGTACAGTACTATCTCTCATGCTAGTCTCATGCACTGGGCCTTGGCACCATATGCAGACCCCCCACCATCGTAAATTATGGGGAAAGTATCATACGGCATCCAGCAAGCTATTATAAAGCAACCCCACTCCGCTCCGGGTAACTCAACTAACCAACCCACCAATAAAACCCAGGTTCTCTAGCAAACAAAAACGAAAACCAGACCAGAAAAAAAATCCCCTATTATACAAACACCTATTACCCCTTTCACAAGTCAATGGCTTCCTCCCCGTCTACTAGTGATGATGTGAGTTTAAATATACCTCTCAATTTCTCTAAGAGTGTTTGCTAACAAGTTCAAAGATCCTTGACAGTCTCAAGAAAAACGTCGACCCCACCGTTCTCTCGGAGCGTGATGCGGCCATGCGGAAGCGGGTCGCAAAGCAGTACGAGAAAGCCCAGAATCAGCTGAGAAATTTGGTCAATATTCCTCCGCCCAACATTTCCAAAGCACGACGGCTAATTCCTTCCGACTCAAGGTTAACGCCAACTCGACACTCCCGGTCACGATTTCCTTCATAAACATCGACGGGGCAAAGAATACCCGCACTGGCTTCCTGCGAAAAGTCCTTGAGCAGACTTTCGCAGAAAGCAAAGGACCGGGGTTTACGTTAGAGGACGCACTGCGGGAGTTGAGGCGTGACTGTAACACCTTTTACAAGTTTGGGATATTTCACCCGCCCACACTCTACATCGATTCTGCTGGTAAGAGGGATGGCAAGACAATGCTCAAGGCCGAAATCAGCTTGAGGGAGTTACCGAGGTTTACTCTGAAGACCGGTACTGATATGGGGAATACTGAGGGGAGCGGGTACCCTGAGGGGAGCGGGTACCTAAGTCTTACTTACCGGAATATGTTTGGTGGGGCTGAGAGCTTGAACGGATATGCTTCTACCGGCACAAGGACTAGGTCGGCGTACGAGCTGAACTTTCAGGCTCCGATCAACGCGAATCCAGATTTGATTCTAGAGACCAGTGGGTATGCGTCCACTCGGTCCCATCAATACTATTCCTCGCATGAGGAGGTTCTTAGAGGTGGAAAGGTTGGGGTTAAGTGGGGTGAGCATGAAACTGGTTATACTGGAGTTTGGAGACAAATCACGGGCCTTGCTCAGGAGGCTTCCCCAACTATTCGGGGCGATGCGGGGGACTCGGTGAAGAGTAGTCTTTGGCACGCCTTCACGAGAGATCGCCGGGATAGCCATTTACTCCCCACCCGTGGGTGGATGGTTAAATCAGAATCCGAGGTCGCTGGATGGGGAGGTCTCGGAGGTGATGTAGCCTTCTGGAAGAACGAGATGGAGACACAGGTTGCAGCACCGCTGGGCGCATCTGGCGTTTCAGTGTCAGCGGGACTCAGAGGCGGACTACTCTATCCACTCTGCCTGGGAGTTGGAGACAACAGAAAACCACCGCAGCCATCCCGCATCAACGACCGTTTCCGATTGGGTGGCCCAACAGATGTACGTGGGTTCAAGGAATGTGGATTAGGACCAAGACATGGAAATGATAGCGTTGGAGGAGATATATACATGGCAGGTGGAGCCAGTATCTACTTTCCTCTCCCTAAAGTAGGACCAGAGAAGCCACTGAGACTGCAAGCGTTTGTAAACAGTGGACGCCTTGTCGGCCTTCAGGGCCTTGCTGAAGACAGCGGCGATGTCAATAGTAGCGTAGCGGGAGCGCTTAAGGAACTGGGTAACGGGCTGCCGAGTGTCGCTGCAGGAATCGGCTTGGTCTACGCTCATCCAATAGCGAGATTCGAGTTAAACTTTTGCCTACCGCTCGTGAAGAGGTCTGGGGAGAAGGGTCGGAAGGGATTGCAACTTGGGATCGGGATTAACTTCCGATAGTCGGGGGTCTTGTAAATAATCGAGCATCACAAAAGTTTTTATTTGTTGCTGTAATATACATTTATTGATTGATTGATTGTGGTGGCCAGAATTGCTTTTATTCTCTTCATCTCTGCCCTATTATCCCCTGGGCCCTCAGGCTCCAGTACCATTTGCGCATAAAGTTAGTATGATACCAGAATCATAATATTATTGAAATCAAGAGTTGACAGGTTTCTTCCACCTTGCAGGAGTGCCCATGCAGTACTGGCACCGTACTACCGCACTGATACTTGTACCTAGCTCAAGTGCTTGTATTATGTGCCGGGGGCGGTTCTTGACTGGCTGAACACTGGAAATAAAGTACCAAATCACGTGGCTCGTCCTGGCTCGCGAGTATTTGACACAGGTTTATTCCATGGCACATACTGTACTCGCGCGAGCCATCATAGGAAACATAAAACGGTAGACCACGTGTATCTGGTTCCTGAACTCTGAGATCCCAATCCAAGTATGGTGAGGCTACGGTATTAGGGTCGCTCAAAAGGAGGCTTACTGTAAGTGAGATTGAGTTGGTTTGTATCACAAGTTTATGCTAACATACGTCCGTTGTAACACTGCACCCGACTGCGGGCGTTAGGACCCTTATGATACAGTACTGGCCAGATCTCCTGGCTACATAACCGCCAAGGGAACATCTCTGTCTTGGACAACCCAAAATCCTCCTTTCAGGAGGGCTCTATCAGCAAATCTAACGGCTATTCGATCACCCCAGGTCTGTTCGTGTGTGCCGGGAGACACAACACGCCGCACCACGAAGCCCAATCCTACCCGTCTAACCACACCAAACAGATCTCAGCCGGTGGCGCCAAGACACCCAGCAACAGAACCGCAACATCATCAACGCTTCCCTTACCTCACCCACCCTTGCCTCCAAGTAACAACGCCTTCCCCCATCTCTCGCAATAATCATCCCCCTCCCTGTATCCAAGTTGGACCGCTCCTCCTTCATCTCCTTGCTCCTTGCTCTAGTAACCTTAGTTCTTCCTTTTCTCCCACCACGGTCGGCCTCTAGTGAGTGCTTTGCTAACCCCCGAGATAGGAAGACAGGCAAACAGATAGACAAACAGGCAAACACCACCATTGGGGATATTCTAAACATGGCCACTCGAGCTGCGAATAAGCGCGTATGTTTACACCCGTGTTTCGTACATTTATCCATATCTCATGCCGGTTCCCGTTTTCATCAGCTGTTCTCCAAACCTTTTCAAGAAAAAGCTAGCTAACTTGACGCCACCGACAGCTCGTCCGTGAGTACAAAGCCATCACTGAGAATCCACCGCCATATATTCAAGCTCACCCTAGCGAGTCCAACATTCTAGAGTAACTTATCCCCCCCTCTTCCACACACCGAAGCTAACGCGGTACGTACAGATGGCACTACATAATAACCGGTCCTGAGAAAACACCCTACGAGAATGGCCAGTATTGGGGAACTCTAGTATTCCCCGCCGATTACCCCTTCAAACCCCCCGCCATCCGAATGATGACTCCAAGCGGCCGCTTCCAAACTAGCACACGCCTTTGCCTCTCCATCTCCGACTTCCACCCCAAATCCTTCAATCCGGCGTGGCAAGTCAGCACAATTCTAATGGGCCTACTGTCCTTCATGACGGGGGATGAAATGACCACAGGCTCCATCTCAGCCACCGACCAGGAGCGTAGGATTCTAGCCGCTAGGAGCCGTTGGTGGAACAGCACGGGCGGGGGCAGTGGCGTGCTGGACCCAGTCTCGGGCATTGTGGTGCCGAATCGCGCACCCGGAGTTGGCATCGGAACGGGTGGGAGCAGGGGCGGAGTTGGCAATGGGGATTTGGGAAGGAAATTTAGGGGGGAGTGGAAGGATGTGGATGCTGAGAATTGGAGGTGGCTCAAGGCTAAGAACTTCAACCTTGCTAGTGGACTGATATCCGCGCCGCCCTCCGCTAGTGCCCGCCCACCTGCCGGCTCTGGTGTCGCCGGCGCCGCTGGAACAGACACAGAGGGTGCGAGGCGACGGCAGCGTTCGGGCAGCATCGGCAATACCGGAACGGCAGGTGCCGCCGGTGTGGTTGTACGTAGGGGTGGCGGGTGGTTCGAGAGACATAGGGTATTGGTCGGGATTGTGTTCTTGTTTGTCTGGGCCTTGTTGGCTAGGAGTTTGGAATAAGTGATTGATCGAGACGTCCGATGCGGTAGGGCGCGGGGCGAGCTGAGATAGACTATGTCGGAATCTCTTGAAAGGGTTAATTTGGAGCATGAAATATTGGGTGGGAGCGGGTATACAAATCATTAGTTTCTGTGTGTTAATGGCGCTTCTCGCGTTAGTGTTATTCTCTTTTCATACATCTTGAACGGCTCTTTAGCGATTATATTAGTATTCTTTTTTTATTATCCCTATCCCTATCCTTCATCTCCTCCCACCCCCAAAAGTACATTGCCCCTTCTCCCCT